CTGTGGCTGTCAGTCATTCGTTCAGCCTTTAAACCCTGGTCGCGTTCAGTTACAGCAGTCAGCTCGGTAAAGCTCTCTGCAAGATCATTCTGTGTTCCCCTTATACTGGATTTGTAAATACATGTCTATGATTTTGCAAAAAGGACTTTATCTTTTTGCCGGAGTTTAATGTTGTTTTGTTACTTGCTACCGGGTGTCTGTGAGAACAAAACACCGGCCGTAGAAAATACTATAAATTTATTTAACATGCACAGTAACTGAAATTTAAAATTGTTAAAAGAAAGGCTCAATAACTGTTGCACAGATATAATACACTACGCATCAATTTCTCTTCCCTTTGTGCTTTGCAGTTTTTAACACGAAGCGCGTACAATGTGCGCATCCGGTGTGCAGGCTGTGACGCCAGGTTGCTTCAGGCTTCAAGCGCATCATTCTGCACACCGGATGCGCACAGTAAGCGCTTCGTGCTCATAGACTGTATAAAAACAGTTCGTGCTGCACTGTATTTGTTTTGTCCTATCTTATCTATCATATGTTGTTGCCTTATTAAAAAATATGCTATAGATTTAAAAGAAATGTATTTTAATTTTATAGTATATACTTATATATAAATACATTCATGAATGTTTTTAATGAATAAAAACTTCACTGGTATCGGATCGGTATCTGTATCGGCCAATACTGAACCCTGGGTATCGGAATCGGTATCGGAGGCGAAAAAGGCAGATCGGAGCATCCCTAATCACAGAACCGGCTTTACTGACAAGATGAGCATGACAATAGCATTCGATTAATCGTGCATCCTTAATAGCACACTTTATTTTGAAGCTCATGTCAATAATATTATGCGTAATGCGTATTTTCACCTGCGTAATATTAATCGCCTCCGTCCCTCTCTCACGACGAATAATACTGCAATTCTTATTCATGCACTGGTTACCTCACATATCGACTATTGTAATGCTCTACTTATTGGTCTTCCTTCTAAACTTCTCTATAAACTCCAATTGGTTCAGAACTCAGCAGCTCATGTTCTTTCTAGGACTTCGTCAATCAAACACATTTCTCCAGTTCTCCAACGTTTACACTGGCTCCCAGTAAAGTATTGCATTGATTTAAAAATTTTGCTTCTCACATTTAAGGCACTTCACAACCTTGTTCCATCTTACTTCTCCACATCTTTACTCCTTCTGGCACTCTCAGTTCTTCACACACGATCTCTCTTGTGTCGCTGCATATACGTTTAAGTACTTAAGAACTTGTAAAGAACTTGATCAAGAACTTGTAGTTTTGCGGCCCCTCGCCTTATGGAACTCTCTTCCCCCCCAATATACGGAACAGTTACAGCCTTCATACTTTTAAATCTCGTCTTAGGACTTATCTTTTTACCCAGGCTTTCTTATGACTTGCTCTTATTAAGCCTTTATTTTTATGTATGATGTACAGGTGCATCTCAAAAAAATATCATGAAAAACTTTTTTTTCAACTTATTTCAAAAAGTGAAACTTTCATATATAGATTCATTACATGTAAAGTAAAACATTTCAAAAGTTTTTTTGTTTTAATTTTGATGATTAGAGCTTACAGCTCATGAAAGTCAAAAATCCAGTATCTCAAAATATTAGAATATTTTCATTAAATGACCATCCCTACAGTAAAAATTTCGGGGATCTCTTGTTCTTTGAAACCACAATAATGGGGAAGACTGCTGATTTGGCAATGGTCCAGAAGACAATCATTAACACCATCCACAAAGAGGGCAAGTCACAGAAGGTCATTACATAAGAAACAGGGATGACCGCAAGCTTGAGAATAGAGTCATCACCCTCAGACGTCTTCAGGAAAAGGGCTACCAAGCCACTTCTGAAACCGAAACAATGCCTGAAGCATCTTACCTGGGCTAAGGAGAAAAAGACTGTTGCTCAGTGGTCCAAAGTCCTCTTTCCAGATAAAAGTACATTTTGCATTTTATTTGGAAATCAAGGTCTGGAGTCTGGAGGAAGACTGGAGAGGCACAGAATCCAAGCTGCTTGAAGTCCAGTGTGAAGTTTCTGAAGTCAGTGATGATTTGGGGTGCCGTGACGTCTGCTGGTGTTGGTCCATTGTGTTTTATCAAGTCCAAAGTCAATGCAGCCGTCTACCAGGAGATTTTGTAACACTGTTGACAAGCTTTATATAGATGCTGATTTCCTTTTCCAGCAGGACTTAGCACCTGCCAAAACCACTTTCAAGTGGTTTGCTGTGCTTGATTGGCAAGCCAACATGCCTGACCTGAACCCCATGTGGAATCTATGGGATATTTTCAAGAGAAAGATGAGAAACAGTCGATCCAACAATCCAGACGAGTTGAAGGCTCAATAGTGCCTCAACAGTGCCACAGGCTGATCGCTTTCATGCCACACCTCACTGATGCTGTCATTTGTGCTTAAGGAGCCCCGACCAAGTATTGAGTGCATAAATGAACATACTTTACAGAACTTGAGCTTTTCTGTTTTGCAAATCCTTTTTTTTCTTTTGATTGATCTTAGGAAAAATGTTGAGATACTGGATTTTTGACTTTCATGAGCTGTAAGCTCTAATTAGCAAAATTAAAACAAAAAAAACGTTTGAAATATGTTACTTTACATGTAATGAACTTTCACTTTTTGAAATGTTACAAAATTTTTTTTTACTTTTTCAAGCTATTCTAATTTTTTGAGATGCACCTGTGTGTATGCAGTTGTGCTGTTGAATTTTGTAATGCTGGCAGGACTTGTTTATTTATTGTTACTGTTTTTACCAATTTGCTTGCTGTAAGGTGACCTTAGGTGTTTAGAAAGGTGCCATTACAACAAATTATTATTATTATTATTATTATTATTATTATTATTATTATCTTGTGCAATATAATAATACTAGCCTACATATATTATGTTAATAATTTCTTAATTCCACAGTTTTTGTAATTTTTAATTCAAAATAAAATATTAATAAAATATCCATTTCTGATTACCCCAGGTTGCTATGACTTTTATTAGGCTAGCCTATATGACTATTTCTGGAGCAGTTATGGGCATTTTACTGGAAAGTTCACTTTAAGAGGAATTTAACATATTAGGCTATAATATTTAATTCTATTTTGGTTAGTAATTAATAGGCCATAATTATAAACACTAGCGGCGTTTTGTTTCAAAGTTTTAAAATGTGAATGAAACGAAACATTCAAAATAAAATTATATATCAATTTCTAAAAATTCCGGATTGCTATGGTCATGTTTGCTTACCCATTAGTCTCGTGGCCATGAGAAAAATATGTAGTTCCCTCAACATAAGAAGTCATGGCCATGAGAAAAGGATGTCATTCTGTCAACATAGGCTCTTGAGGCCACAACTTCACATCTCGTGGCAACGACATAAGTATGTTGTTACCCCAACAAAATGATCTCATGGCCACAACATTTTATAATTTTATTATGTTTTACCGAACATGTCCCCTCCAGGTCACCGTACTAATGGCATCAATGTATTTCTGTCTTTCCATGCACTGTTCTCACACGTGAAGAGAGGAAGATAACAGTGATGGAGGGAGATCCTGTCACTCTAAACCCTGCTGTGGAAAAACAATCTGCTAATTTGATACAGTGGCTGTTTGGAGATGAAAAGCAGCTGACTCGCATAGCTCAATTCACTGGAGAGACCGGAATAATCATTACATATGATTATTTTGCTGATGGGAGTTTCAGAGACAGACTGGAGCTGGACAAGACGACTGGATCTCTGACCATCAAGAACACCAGGACTGAACACTCTGGACTCTATAAACTAGAGATCATATCCAACGGTGTGGTTTCAGACCAGACTTTTATTGTCACTGTCAAAGGTGAGTAGCTCAAGTCAGTAATGTTCACAGATCTTCATTGGCAGTTATTCCCTATAATTCAGTTCTTCTACAGGTAATTCAGCTGAAACTGGTTAATGTTCAGACCCCATTCAGAGTTTGTAGATTATTTTATTCAGTTTTAAAATCTCCCGTTGAACTAAATTGTGAAATAAACAGTTCTGTTGCTGCCCCAAAAAGTACTTCCTTAAGCTTTTATTTATATCAGCACTCTGTATAAAGTTCACTTGGATTTATAGTTTTGTCTTTGAGTTATCAAATCTGAAGTTGAGACAGTACTATAAAGTTTCTGTTTAAGAAAACAGCAACCTGTCTTAATTTCAAACTGATACAACAGCATCTGAATGCTCATTGTGTAGTCATTTCAAACTCTGATGTTCACATGAACACACTTGATCTAAAGACAAATTGGTCTTTGTTTTTCTCTGTTTCTGTGCGCTGCTGTGACAGATAAAGTGGAGGAGAAATTACTGAAAGGAGAAGATTCTGTCACTCTAAACCCTGATACTAAAATACAGAGAGATGATCAGATCCTGTGGATGTTTGGAGATCAAGACAAGCTCATTGCTCAAATCAGAGGAGGGACTGGAGAGATATATGATGATGCTAATGAGAGATTCAGAGGCGGACTGAAGCTGGACGAGACTGGATCACTGACCATCACAAACATTGAAGCTGAACACACTGGATTCTATAAACTACTGATTATCAGCAGCAGAGGGATCTTGTACAAGAAATTCAGGGTTTCAATACAATGTAAGTAACTGTCTTTCAGTTTATTTTTAAAAATGTACATGAGAGTAAGAGTGATGATGCACTGAATGAACAGTTTTACACTGAACTGAATTTTAATAGGCAAAGGTGCACTTTATAGTGTGTAACTTTAATTTTGTTTTAAAATATTATAGTTATTAATGTCATTTACTTAGTACAGTGGCGGATCCTAGCATAGGCAATATAGGCAGCTGCCTAGGGCCTGCAACACACTGAGGGGCGGCATGAGGCACCACCTGTGCATGGTGCATGCAGCTTTCAGTCGTGACATCTCTTCTTTATAGTTCATTCATGGCCTTATTTTAATGTTGAGAGCACATTAACATGAGAGCACATCCAAGTAATCGCAAATCTCTCAGCTCGCAGGTGGATTTCCTTCACTCTCTCACAAAACTGGACGAGTCCTCTCAAATGTACAGTGTGTTCTCTTATTAATTGGCTCTGCTCTCCCTCTGATATTGTGTGTGCTCAAACGTTGTCCTGTGCACTCTCAAATCTCTACATGCTCTAGCTTCAGAATTCTCTTCTCTTATGGTTTTATTGTTGCTAGAAGCTATTGTAGGAAACTTTTTCCTCGTCGAAGCAGAGACCAGGAGACTCTTGGGTATCTTCAGCAGAGTTCTTTATTGAGAACGCGCTGTGTGGCGCTGCAGTTATCAAAAGTCTGACTAAGGCAGTGATACATTGTAGTTTATACCTTTCAAGGGGGAGGGATACATAGAGGTGGAGACAATCTAAACAAAGCATGCAAATGCAATACAGGAATCAGCCCGTTACCGGAATTTCTCCAGCCCTGATCTCATCAGCATAATAGTGTCATTCAAAAGCATAGGTGCTAATCCAATCAGTCTGACAGTCCTAATCCAATCAGCATAACTACTCAAAGACTGGGGCAGAGGCACCAAGAGCCATTACAAACAAAAGGTGATATTCTCAGTAATCTGGTTCATTTGACTAACAATAAGAGAACAGGAACAGACAGGAACCTCTTGCTACAAACTTTGCTTAAGAGAATCATTTGTCTGATGTAATTTACCTTACATGCTAAATACAATGTACTTCACCTTAGTTTTTCATGTGATGCTATGTCAGAACATAGGATCAGCATATTTAAAACAGATTCTTACATTTGTAATCCCACAATTCTCCCTTTGAGAGTTCTAATAACTCTCACAAAATACACATTTAGACACTTAAAAGTTCATTCTTGTAACCTGTGATCGTTACAGGCACATAGCACTTGCTCTGTGTTGATTGTCTGTACTGACGAACGGCATGTTGACACAGAAACAAACATGCAGCTAGGGTCCGTGAAGTTCTTACGGGTAATAGTCTTTTCTGGTTGGAACTGTCATTTCCTCGTGAT